TGTCGCTACAAGCATGCTTAGTGTGAGGGATTGCATTCAAGTCGATGAGTCAATGCAATCAACTGGTTTTCCTTAAATACAAAACTGAATCAATTTGACTGTATGATGTGGTGAATTGTGCCTTGAGATGACATGTGTTGTGAATTGGCGCTATATAAATAAAATAAATTTAATTTAATTGAATGTCTATCTTTTTTTAAATAAGCAAACAATACAAAGTGTAATCAAAAAAGTAACGGTTGGGACAAGCTTGGCTGATGGATCCATGAACTGGAAAACATTGACTAAAACAAAAAACTGTTATCAGTTCGCTACCTTAAAGGTACAGTGGAGGATTTTTGCACATTTTTTAAAAGATCCGCCCTCTCTACCAAAAAATAAAAAAGAAGCACATGCACAACAAACACCCATGAAATCGTACGAGAGCGTGCACAAGCCCATTTCTCCTCGTGCACGCTCTGTTTAAAAGTTGCTGTTTGCATCGCTCCAAAAGAAGATTTGACGAGCAAATAGGACGGACTTACTTAAACATATCAACAGAATGATGGACAATTTGGAGTACCACTAATTTTGATGATCCACCTGGAAAAAGAACATCTGCACTATACCTTTAAGCTATACAATACAGCAGGATAAATATGTAAAACACAATTCAAAGTACATTTAAATAAATAAAAGCTTTTAAATGGCCTAGTCAACATCTGTAATCTAATTTAATTAAGATACTCTGGCATATATAGGGTTATTAAAACCCTTCTGATTTTTTTATTGTTTTGTTTTTCTTATTTATTAAGGTTATGATTGACTGATACATATTTTTTTAATATCAGTCATGTTATTTTATTTTTGCTTTACCTATAATGCAGGGGTAATGTTTTGTGAAACATTATGCATAGTGGGGGCTTACCAGTATTTATGGGGATATTCAACTTTTCCCCATATGGTAAAGTCCTCTTCTTTGGATTGGGTGCAGAACTAGGACTAAGATGTGAATTTATGTCAGGTTAGGGTTAGTTATATTGGTATGGGTAAGGACCTGAATTTGGTAAGGTAAAATAAATATAAGTCAATGAAATGTCAGGCAAACAAACATGTCTGGGATGAGATCAATATGTATCTTCCTTTTAAAAATTAAAAATTCTTCATAAAAATGTTTAAGTTTGTTCACAAGTGCTCTGTAAGGCAAAAAAAAGGACAAATCTGCAGAGATAATAATTGCCTCCTTTATGTCCAACATTTCTGTTGCAGTGAAAAATGACTATTGTTAAGCCTTTTAGGTGATATTTATTTGTTCTCTCTAAACGGCAAAGCATCTAATCATCTTTGGTATGTTAACGCTCTTATCAAACGATACAAATCATAAAGCTGTAATATTCTCAATGCTGAAATAATTTGTGACTTTAAGATTTCGATGTAAGTCCACCAGTGACCACACGATGGCAGCAGAGGCCGTGAAGAGGACAAGCAGCATTTTCATCTATCAAATTGATTCTGCTTTGTCTGTATGCTAAATTAGGATTTAAGATGTTTTTTATGTAAGAATAATTTATGATTCTGTGAAAGATAAAACCGGAATATAAATTAAACCAGCAGTTAATGTTACGATTAAAAGATAGACCTTTAGATAGACTAAAGTAAAGAAAAGCAGACCAAATATGCAGATGTCAGTGTCATTCACAGAGCAGTCCTTAAATGTGCATCTCAGAATGTATTTATTTTATTTACATTGAAATGGTCGGATAGCGCTTGTTTTCTGGCATTCAATTCAGTTTCATTTTATTGAATCTCCACTGAAATCAAACCAAACAAATTATATTCATTTCAATTTCATTTTATTCTTTTTATTTCATACTGTACACGTTCAATAGAAAATCTAATATATTCAATTAAACTCAATATAATTCAAAATTATACAATTAAACTTAATTCAGTTCGAATCAAATCAATTCAGTTATGTTAAGTTTAATAAATTCAGTTCAATTTAATCTCTTTTATTTTAAATATGTTATTGATTCAAATGGAAATGACATAATTTTCCATCTTCCTGCCTCTTCATTTATTCCTAGATTACTTTAAAGTTAAGACTTGTATGTTTAGGATCAGCAATCTCCTACTCTAGACTTCTTAGACAGCATATCAATAAAAAAAAACAAAACAAAAAAAAAACTTTTTTGTACCCCAGAAACAAAAACTTTTACCCCCTAATCAAATAATTGCAACTGATATCAAAATATAATATTTTTGAATAAAATAAGAAATAAAATTTGATTCAAATTTTATATTTGCAACGTGTATGAATATGATTAACACATTGAAATCATGTATTATGAAAAGGATAACTGATGAGAAATCTAAGGGACATGGAGGATTAAGGTGACTGCATTACACAGTTTATGATAAACAATGGAGTCTTAATAAATAGCTACCAAAGAAAGGTTAGCAAATTCCTCAAACTTTAACAACCAATGAAAAAAATGACATTAGAGTACCTATAGCTGCTTGACTTCACTACCAATTAGAATAAGGATTTTACATCTCTGGGAAGCTATCGCTATATTAAAGGTTTGGCTTTATATTGCTAAGACAGCACTTAAGCATGAAATCAATTGTGTAGAGATTGTACCGCTTATTACCACAGATTAATAGAAATACATTTTCCTTTTCAAAATAAAGCTTTTTTTTTAAACTTATGAATAAAATAAAAAAAAATAATAATAATCCTGACTGCATTTTGTTCTCCTAGACTGCTAAATTTATAAATTAAATGATTAATTGACGTCTGGAATTTGTGAGTTCAAAATATTGTAAGGAGCAATTTTTGCTGTTTTGAAACAAAAAGGCAATTTTTGATCAGTTAGTTTTCTCGTTAGTTCTTTGCTAATAGGATGAAAACACATTCTAGAGAATCTATGCGGAAATTAAGTTGACTCAAATGTTAAATATCCCTTAGTAATTTCATAAATTTCTATGTAGCTATATCATATTTAGAAGAAAAAAAAAAGCATTTCTGGTTAAACATTTCAATTTTCAAATATGACATTTTGAAATTAATTGTGATACCTTTTTGCTGGAACAGCTTTTGAAAAATAAATGTTAAAGGTTATAATATGTTTCACTTCAAATTAATTATAAATTGACGGGTCCAGGAATATAATAATCATAATAATTATTTAACTTTATTGATCTCACAATGGAGAAATTTAACTCTGTATTTAACCAATCCCCTTTGGGAGTTGTAGTTGGGATTATTTATGCAAAATGCAGCTGGGATTATTTATTTTTTATTTTATTTATAAGGCAAATAAAAATCCAGTTTAGATTATTTATTTCTTATGTTATTTTTAAAAATAAAGGCTGCCTAATT